ACACCGGTTACGGTAACGAATTCAACATTGACACCGGTTACGGTAACGAATTCAACATTGACACCAGTTACAGTAACGAATTCAACATTGACACCGGTTACGGTAACGAATTCAACATTGACACCGGTTACGGTAACGAATTCAACATTNGCATCATCGACAACTCCCAGTAGCACAACAGCATCATCGACAACTCCCAGTAGCACAACAGCATCATCGACAACTCCCAGTAGCACAACAGCATCATCGACAACTCCCAGTAGCACAACAGCATCATCGACAACTTCCAGTCCCACAACAGCAAATTCAACATCAACATCGACGACAACAGCTAAACCTAATGGATCGAAATCCAATCAAATATCAGCATTAACAACAGCATTTTCATTGATATTCATAACATTTACTTTGATCTATCAATCAAATTCTAATATTTTTTTGTAAAACATTTTTTCTTTTAAAACCTATTCAAATCACTTTACAATACAATAAAAACGTTGTACTATTTCAAACAATTAATCTTGAAAATTGAATATTTTACTTTTGATAGCATATATACAAGATAATTAATTATTTTAGCTACTAAATCAACAGATTTTATCTAATTCAATAAAAAATTGTTTATTTCAAAAAATTCAAAACCATTTATCAATTTCATTTACAGATCATAGATGGCGTAACCCGTTCCAAAAAAGTCAATAATTACATAAAATAACCTTCGCAAAATCGATTTGAATATCTTCTTATCTGCATATCGTTTGACCGCATCAACAAGAACAACTTTGATATGTTGAACCAATATGTTCGCATATGGATGTATATAATTCTTTGGTTTTTCAATGAATAATTATGGTTACATTCGGCAATTGCGCATTCAATTCATTGTATCGCAAACAAAAATGGCAAAATTTTTTTTCGTTTCATAAAACTTTCAACAACAACAAAACAAAGAATCAAAAAAGATATCAATGTTTAGCAAAAAAAACTTTGGTTAAATGATAATTATTTTATTTTACGTTTTTGACTAAAGAGTTTAAGAGATATTTGAATGAAAATATTTTAGTAACAGAATTTTCTTTGAACAAATTTTGAATGGTCTGTAGTTTATTTTATCGTATCTATCTTGCTGTCCATGTTTCTGTTCCAATATAAAAATAAACCGTTAGTTTAGTGAACAATAAATTCTGGTGTCAATAATAATAAATTGCCTGTTTGGTGTTTATATTTTTTGACATGTCTTGTCGAATGGAATTTTTGAATCTTTGAATATTCACATGGATCACATTTGTGTGACTATTCACCATTAATGAATGTTAATGATGGATAGTTTTTTTCCATTTTTTTTTAATTTTCCTTGTTAAATCATTAAGAGTTACTTTTTGATTCGATTAATCAATTAATTCGAGAACAATTTTGAACAACAGTGAAAGCCACTTATAAGGAAACAACATTATCCCAAAGTTCGAACAAAACAACCAAATCTGACGATAAAACAACAACTGAAAAAATGGACAAAACAACTGAAAAACCTAACAAGACATCCAAATGCGATGATAAAAAATCTGGTCATAAATCGACAGCTGAAAAACAGGAAAAGACATCCAATTCCGATGATAAAAAAACAAATGAAAAACCGGAGGAGACATCTAAATCCGATGATAAAAAATCTGGTCATAAATC